AAAGAAAAGAAAGTCAGCTTTATAGATGAACAGAAGAACCAAGAACAGCAAGACTGATATTCTACTTCAAAACTTAACCATTCCTAGTAATTAAGGCAGAAATACACCCACTCAGTAGTTTTTAAATGTATAGAATGTTCTGTTTCATGCACAAAAAGAGAACAAAAGAAGAGCAAAATTATGAGTGATCCTTTAACTTGTTCTAAGTGTACTGAGAAAAACATCTCAAACAGAAAACCTAGTCTGGAAAACTGTTTTTCAAAGCACTGCATCACTCTCAGTAGATCACCGAATCATAGAATGGTGTGGGTTGGAAGGGACCTTCGAGATCATCTCGTTCTAACACCCCTGCCATGTGCACAGACGCCTTTCACTAGAGCAGGCTGCTCAGAGCCCCATCCAACCTGGCCTTGATCAGAGGCTTCTCTCTGTAGACCTGATGATAAGGGATTCGTATCCCATGTCTACACTCACAATAATTCCTAAGACACACCCGGCACCAGGCTTGCAATGAGCATAAGTATGTAGCATGCACATGGTGTGACACTAAATTGGTTTTGTTGGCTTCAGAGATCTAAGTTAATTAGCATACTTATTTTTTAGCAGTCAAGGACCACTACAACCACAGACCAGAGAACACACTGCCGCCCTACTCAACCTCTCTTTCACTCACTTTAAAGTCAAGTTTTAAACTTTGTTTCCATTTAACAAAGTTACATTCCTTAAATTATATTCCTTAGCTGTGCAGAAGAGACAGAAATAATTATGCAGGAATATTAACAAACAGTATTAACAAACAATACTAACAAACAGTACCTGCAAATCCTTCAAAAGTAAAAATGTTACCTAAACAGCACTCAAGAATGCCCTGATTTAGTGTTCTATTACAATATAATATAGTACCATCAGCAATTTCTCATTTCTGTAAAAGATTTGTTTTCCTCACACACAGAGTGATAGAGTTATTACAAAAAGGACTGATTTTCCTTTGCAAAGGAATAAGCAGTTGCACAGACTTGAGTTTTGTACTCCTCTAAGAGAATTACGGAATTTTGAAGGTTCTCACTTTAGCCATGTCACAGGGTGATAGCATGGGGTGCTGACAACTTGCTCAGTTGACTCGTTACAGGACATGGACCATTTCCTACCACAAACAATGAAGTAGAATGCACAAAGCCCCTCAGATGCACATAGGAAAATCTACATCCTAATGACACTCCGTGACCTCCCCAGCTCTCCTCCCATGCCCCTCATTTGCTTCCCCTGCTGATCTGTCCACAAGGAGAGATGGCAGAAGAGATACTCTCCTCAATGCTAATTTAAGACTGCTGAAGCTTATTCACCTTAGGCTTTTTTCTATCAGAACTGGGGAGCAGGGTGTGAGGTGGTGATTATTTATTTACAGCAGTTGTCATGCTCCCAATCCAAACCATCTACTAAATGAATTTAATCCTCTTGTACTACACAGGAACTGCAGGAACATTATCTTGGAGCCATTCCCAGTGAGCCCCCAGCCCTCCCACAACATCCACTCCCACGCCAAGTGGGGCTCATGGTGGAAAGGAGAGATTCCAGCACACAGCTCGTCTGTCACCTCCCAGCCAGCTCTGTGTGCTTGTAAACTGAGCACACCTTGTGAGGGAGCTGCTCAGCCAACAGCCATCCTTCCACAGCAGAAAATGCACTTTGGAACTTTGCTGAAGGGGGCACTGACCATTACTAAGATTGCATTTCATAAACCATTACTGGAACTTCTGTGAACATCCCTATCTTGGGCAAAAAAGGCTTTGCAGGCATGTTTCTCAACTACATAGATGCTGTCCCCTGCCACCACAATCAATCCCAATTAGACAAATTGTATGTTTGGGCAGTGGCTTTTCCACCATGCAAATATTTAAGAGGAATTATATAACAGACAGTGTTAAGTTATAAATAAAAAATTACAAGATGAAAATAATTAATTTGGATTGAAAAGAAAAATGTACTTTATTATGCAGCTAAATGGCTCATAACTAATAACTTATTAAATCAATCCAAAGTAAAGAGATAAACATCAGATAAAAATACATCTGGGTTTTTCCTGCAGCTTTCTGTGGTCTGGCTGAGGGAGTATGATTAAGGAGCAAGGGGAGTAAGTCTGAAAAAGGTAATAGGTTTGTTCTTACTTCATTCTGCTTCTTGAGAATCTAGTTCATTTTGGCAAAATTAATGGGGGAAGAAACAAATAAAAGATATTCTCATGAATGATAAATCACTAAAAATGTCTTAATGTCTTAAAGACCAGCCACAAGCAAGCCCCAGCAACATGGCACTCACACCCCCACACAGGGTAAAACCACAGGCTGCAGGCCAGCCACAGCCTTCCCACAGGGCTGCCTTCTTTCCAATACACTGAAATGCTGAATTTCTTCATTCAGCAGGCTGTTCCTAAGGAGCTGAGTCTGATAATCCAAATATAAAATTAAGGTGGGAGAGACAGGGGGTGTGTGGGGAAGGTGCCATACAAGCTCAGGCACCTACTTGTCACCCCAGCCATGCCCCACACAGGGCCACAACCAGGGGAGACCACTCTGAGGCTGAGGTGGGACCCCGAAAGTCCTCAACAACCCCAGATTATTTCAACTCCCCATCTTTTGCCATCTCCTCTTTGTATGTACCTCACCTGCTCAGACAGGCTGGTGCAGGTTCCCAGCCTGTGCAGGTGGTCCAGAGGAAGCCCTGGCAGGCAGAGTACAAACCTCCAGTACCACTATAAAGTCAAGCACCAGAAGAAAAGAAAATCTGCAATACTGAACACTGCTAACCAAGCAAAACAACACTGAAAATTTTTTGTACAACAGGAAAATAGTCTGCATATATGTATACACTTTAGAAAATCAGCTACAAAACCTTAGTGGCTTCCTCTTAACATCTAAGTGATGGCCACCTACAGAAACATTATTTTTCTTTTTTTCACCATCACATATGAGGGAAGGAAGAGGCAGCATTAACAGATTCAAAGCCTATTTTCACACATATTCATCAAATATGTGTTTGTGTGTGTGTGTGTGTGTGTGTGTGTACGTGTTAACATAAAACACTGCGCCAATGTGAATTCAGTCTTACATGAGGATGCCACTGACACTGGTAAAGCCTCCACCTGTAATATCATACAGATAAAGCCAGAGATGGGAAATACAGAGATAAATTTCAGGCAAAATGTATTTCAGGGTAGCTGTGTTTATTGAAGCATTTAAGTAGCCCAGCAATCAAAATCCTCATTTTGTTTATCACTAATATTTCTGGCCCACATTAAAAGCAACCAGAGTTGTGTGTTCTAATGCTACAAAAAAGCTTGCTTAAATAAAAACTACCAAGTTGAATTACACTTTATATTCAATAATATACTATTAACAACACGGTTTTGTTAGAAATGCACTGTGTTTATTTTCAAGCACTGTAAGAAGATAATTGCAGGCAAAGGACACAGTTTTTTGTTTTCCTCTAGTCTGCATTTAGCCAGCACTAATACAAGTTACACTTTTATTAGCCAAAATATATTCACAAGCACTGAAAGAGCCACAAAGAAATCTCTGCATGCCTGTAGAGATTATGAGAAGTGACACAAGTCTAGGCATCCACTTCCTCAGTGAGAGGCCACAGAGTGTCTTCAGAGATACCCTGCTCCAACAGAAAACAGCTCTAATGGAGTCTATTCTGGCAATCATAAAACAAGAACTTGTTGAAGCTGAACTACACAGAGTAATAGCTTGTCAGCAGGTGTTTGAACTGAAGGTGGTGGGAGCTATTAATAGACATCTTAACCTGCTAATTACTTTTCTGTGGCTTCATATGACAGTGTGAGTGAGGAATTGTAGCTCTTTTTTTCACATGCTGACAAGCAGCAGCTCTAATCACCACTGATGAATTTTGCTGGGTATTTTTGTAAGAAGAGCCAGCCTGGTCCCTCTGCAAGCCCATCCTTGCACCAGCATCCCAAGAGTAGGAAGGGGGTTCACAAACCAAATGTGAAAGTGAAGCAAAATTTTCTTTAACTAGCTTGGTCAATGTTCAGTAGTGCATTCCCTGGTTCCCTAAATTAAAAAAAAAAAAATTAAAATTTAGACCTCATCTCTTTCCTGTGTTAAATTCACTTGATTCTTGCTGGCAGGGAAGTGCATCTGACACTTTTAGCATAGCTGAAAAGTAAAGTGTCCCTAACTCGAACAGTGCTAACTAATCTCTGCTGGCTTAGACAGACTGTCTAGAAGATGCCAGGACTTTAGGGTATTTTTATACTGCCCATTGAAAGTGCAAGGCCATCTCAGCTACCCAAATAAGCCAAGCTCACATCTAAACACAGTACAATGTGCAACACAGTACAATGTGCAACCACAGTCCCATTAACAAATCCAGAAATCCCTTAGAACAGCTGTCTCGATCACAACTTTTTTGCAACCATGAATACCTCTATGTCTCCAAGCACAAATGCTATATCAAGTTCAGTGACACTGTTTGACTCTTACACATGACAGGGAAATGAACATATGGCCTCTCTGCCTACCACTCTAAATCACTGTGTCTTTTCTTCAGCCCAGAAAGCTGAAAACCTTGTGACACAAAAGGCATGAAAACCATACTGCTGGAAACCATGTGGAGCAAAAGACATACAGAGACCAGTGTTCACTTCTGCTGAAGAGATCCAAGATGGGAACTGAAGATGCTACTATAATGCTGGTGCTTGTGGGCAAGAAGAAAATAAAAAGCAGTATCTTCACCAGACAGCAGAGCAGATAGGAGCACGTACACTGATTAACTTCTGCTGCTCCTCTGCAGAAGGCAACCACGACTGCATAAACTGAAGAAGGTGAAGGTTTATTTTAATTTGGTAAATATTTTTGTAACACACACAAACAATATAATTTAAAGAAGAAACA